TCTGTATTTTTTTCATATACATATTTGCCTGCATATATTTTGTACACCTCTTCAGATGGCAGTGATCTTTGCAATATTGTTTTCTACAGAGGGAAAAGGAAGATAATCCAGTCTTTTCCTGATTCACCTTTCTTACAGTTTCTGCATCCACCTGTTCATCATCTGCTCCCTGAAGCCCTCCCCCATTCACAGAGCTTGACTGCCCCTGCACATTTGCACTAAACTCTGCCACCTCACCACGATACATATACTTGGTCCTTCCAATCTATGTCCTGATGAATTCTGTTAGGAGATTTCTCAGAGACGTAAAAGTCTTCAAAATAGAAAATAATCGTCGATAAAATGACAACTTGTGAAATTGCTCCCCACTTAAATGGTCCAATCTGTTACCCTAGGGTCTACACCCACCTTTATCAAAGGCTTGGTCATTCATTTGGAAATATCCAGCCCTCAAATACAATAAAAATCTATTGCTAAGTAAAATTGCCAATCTTTCAAAAGATGTGGAATTTCATGAAATTGAAAGTGATGTTGATGAAATGCTGGATCCACATGCAAAGTCATTAATAAAGTGGGACCTTACAGAGTCCGACCAGTAACAAATGAAAAAGGGAAAATCAGTAAGAATGATGTTGACATCAGTGCTTCAAAAGGAAAACAACTGATTTCAAAAGATTAAGAGAGGCCCTTGGAAAAACTGGATAAAGCCCAATACTTCTGCAAATATGACCCTGCTATAAAAATCAAATGCTAAGTGAAGGATAATTAGCCATATAAAAGTTATGTCATCCTAAATTGACACTTGAGTTATCAGAATTAGGACATAGTTGCAATTGTAACCTAAAATGTGTTAAATATAAATTCAAGATAAAGTCCCAATCAAGTCTTTTTCTTTCACTGTGGAATCTGGTTCCCCATCTTTAATAGATTCACTCTAAGAGGGGCCTTTTTTGGTACCAATTATATTGAGAAAAGCAAGACCTCTTGTACTTATCTGTTTCTCAAGCATGCAATGTATTTTAAGAATCTTCCCAGGAAATTGTAAAAAATACAGACTCTGGTGTTCCCCTGCCTTACCAATTCTGAATCTCCAAGAACAGAACAGAAACTAGGAGTTAAAAAACAGTCCATATTTTTATTTACTTATTTTAACTTTTTTAGAGTCAGGATCTTGCTATGTTACCCAGACTGGACTCAAACTCCTGGGGTCATGTGTTCCTCCCACATCAGGACTACAGGTGCACCACTGTACTGGCTAAGTTCCAAGTCTTTAAAAATCTCCTAAGCGATCTTTATAATAATCAGGCAAGTGTGGGAATAACCACCTTAACTCATCTTAAGCTCTCTCCCTTTCTCATAACCTTAAGAAATCTATTTTAACCTTGCCAGCTGGCTTGTATTTATTGGACTGCTTTCTTTATCCTTTATTCTTTTTACATGTCCTCCTTCCTAGATCAGTGTCTAATCTGGAAATGAAAGGTTTTTGAAACTTTATCTATGCAGTCTTTAGAATTTTACAGTCTGTTCCTGCTTTTCATATTGTTTTATTAATATTTCAAAACACCTTTGAACAAACCAGAACTTCCTTATTTTTTTCCTCCTTTAAAATTGAGTGTGAGTGATTTGTCTCAGAATTATTTTTCCTGTAGTCCCTCGGCCTGCATTTTCATGAGTCCATTTTGCTCTTTGTTCATCTGGACATTAAACTACTTTGCAAATATTACCATGTTTTGTCTGTTCTTTTTGTGCTGCCTGATTGTCAGCTCCTGGAAGACACACATGGCATCTTCCATTTCTTCTGTATTTCCCCCACTGAGCCTAGAAGATTGACTAAGACTGACTAGTGCACAGTATGCTTCACGTGGTGGGCGCTTAATAAATATTTTAAAAACAGTATTAAAATGTTGAATAAATTTGACAGCAGTGCTGCTCCTCATCATTTCAAGTGCCAACACTTTCTAGGTCCCTTTTCTGCCTAGCAACCATTTCCCAACATACCTACATGTCCCTACACAGCTCAGTCAAGCTGAAGCTCTCTTTTGATCCAGCTTTCCTTGCCCAAGTTATAGAAATGTTGTTTCCATTTTTTTACCCTGAGGAGTATCTTGTTGGTACCCAAAGACCCTGCTGTGTAAGTTGAAGTTGCTTTTTTCCTTTGGTGGTAGTGAGGGGGAGGAGGAAGGACAGCAGAGATGGAAAAGCTTTTATTTCCAATTATCTTAGTTTTCTCCTCGAATTATCTTTTACAGTAAGATACAGTGTCCGTATGTGCATTTTCATATCTGCAAGGAGGTTTTCGTTCTTAGCACCTGAAGAATGCTAAGGATTTTAGGTAAGGGGTTTCAGTATTTTAACTAAGATATTATTCCTTCATGAGCTTTAGTCGATACCTCATTTCCTTCCTGATCTACTACAGTCAGTCAGGCAAGATTTCTCTTATAACATCATTCTCCTATTAGTCATTATTTCATACATACAAAAAATAAGCTTATATTTAAGGTGTATGAACCTGATGTAGTAACGTACAAAAAAACTTTATCTTGGGTAGGGATTTATGTTTTATTACAAAGCACTTGTCATATATTCATTAGTTTATTTAATCCTCACAACAACTTTGCTAGATGGACAGAATAGGGGTCATTATCTCCAGAATAAGGAGACTTTAAGTGACTTATCCAAGGTCACACAGCGTGGGCAGACTCACATTGAAAAATCAGGACTTCTGACTTGACACCCAGTCCCATTTCCCAGTCTTCGCCAGTCTCCCACAGCTTAACTTTACATAATAAGCTCTGGTTATGTCAGTAGAGATAAGGCTGCCAGGAAGAAGCAAAGGAGTGACAGATGGATATGGGGGGGAGGGGGGCGGATGAGAACATACTGCGCACGCGCAGATCGCTAAGCGCGCGCATAAGTGTCCCGGAAACTTGGGCAAAGACGCTGAGCTCCCTGTTAAATTCCAGCCCCAACGTCACGCTAACGCGCAGGCGCACTTCCTGAAGCTAAGGGTTAGAATAAAGAGGGAGGGCCTCAGAGTCGCGCAGGCGCAGTTGTGTGCTGGGGCGCCAAGATGTCGTTCCCAAAGTACACTCCGTCCCGCCTGGCCACTCTGCCCCCGACCCTCGACCCGGCCGAATATGACATATCTCCGGAAACCCGGCGGGCGCAAGCCGAGAGGTTGGCCATAAGAGCCCGGCTTAAACGGGAGTACCTGCTTCAGTACAACGACCCCAACCGCCGAGGGCTCATTGTGAGTGGGGGGCAGGCCGGGCGGGAACCGAGGGCCCGAGTCCAGGCGGCCCCCTCGGGATGGGTAGCCCAAAGTGGCCAAGGAGACCACGCAGGGTGGCGGCGACCGTTTCCGATCAGTATGTTAGACGCATATCCTCTTCCAGGCCCAGAGAACAGGCCCGCTCACTAGCCCTTTGACCTTGGCCACAGAGCTCGGTGGTCAAGAGGACGGGCTCTGGACTGAGACAGACATGGCTGGGTTTGAATCCTGGATTAATTCCCACTTGAGTGACCTCGAGAAGGTTATTCAACTCTGCTTAGCCTCGGTTTTCCCATCTGAAAAATGGGTGTGATACAGTACTTCCAGTTTTATGAGATTGTTGGGAGGATTAAATGAGGTAAGGCACGTGACTGGCCTAGCACAGTGCCTTGCTTGTAACACGTGATCAGTGATCAGAAAATATTTACATATATATTTATAAAATTTAAAAAGTTGCTTTTTACTTTTCAGTTCACATTTCATAAGGATACTGCTCTCCTGATGGAAATGGAGTGGTTCTTCAACCTATATCTTTTAAAGACCCTGAAGCTTCAGGCTTTGGAATCAGACCCCCAGGCACTACACATTGGCAGACTATAATGACCTTGGGCAACTTACCTAACCACTCTGAAAAATTACAGTTTTCTGATGTTCATATGAAGATGTATACTCTTCGTAGAATTGTTGTGAGGCTAAATGAGATAGTCTATGTAATATTCCCACCACAAAATATATGCCCAGTAAACTGGTACTTATTATTTAACAACTGTGCTTTTAGATAGTTTTCTGTATGAGAGCTGTCTAAATATGTTAAAATATGATGTTTAAAAAAAAAAAAAACAGGCCGGGCGCGGTGGCTCACGCCTGTAATCCTAGCACTCTGGGAGGCCGAGGCGGGCAGATTGTTTGAGCTCAGGAGTTCGAGACCAGCCTGAGCAAGAGCGAGACCCCGTCTCTACTAAAAATAGAAATTAATCGGACAACTAAAAATATATAGAAAAAATTTGCCGTGTATGGTGGCGCATGTCTGTAGTCCCAGCTACTTGGGAGGCTGAGGCAGGAGGATTGCTTGAGCTCAGGAGTTTGAGGTTGCTGTGAGCTAGGATGACACCGCAGCACTCTAGCCCAGGCAACACAGTGAGACTCTGTCTCAAAAAAAAAACAAAAAAAACAAAAAGACTTCCCAACGGTTGCACTGGTGTTCTCTAGGAATTTTTGGAAGTTATGAGGATTGAAGGAAAGTTATATGATGTGCCAGGCACTATACTAAACCCTTCTTCGAGCATTATTTAATTCACATATCACAACTATTCAGAAAACTAAGGTGTTACTATCCCCATTTTACAAGTGAGAAGACGATATGGGAAGGACAAGTAGCTTATACAGAGATATCCCCTTAGCAAGTGATAGAGCAAAATTTGAACCCTGGCTTGTGTAACCCACAGCATATGCTTTTAACTAGTTGCCTGTACTCCAACGAGGTACTCCAGCCAATATCTTGTTTACTTGGGAAGAGGTGCAGAGATCCACAATTATTACCTACATACTCACATGATTGGGTTTGACGTGTTAGAGAGTATACTATAGTAAAAAAGAAATAAGGCCTCATTCAGACCTGAGGTTGAAACCCCAGATCTTTTGTAATATCTTCCAGCTCTATGACTCAGGGCAGTTTCAGTTTTCTCATATGTAAAATAGAAGTAATAATACCTGCCTCTTTGGTTGTTCTTTTAATTAAATGAGTGTGTGACACAATCATTTATTAATCAGTACATGTAAATTGTCTAATCTTTAAGAATGATTGATTCAGTCAGATAATAGCTCAGGGTCATAATGAGCCTGTTTTAGATGCTTTTGTAACAGTGGAGAACAAAACAGGCAAAAATCCTTGTCCTCATAGAGCTTTCTTTCCAGTGGGGGAGACAAGCAAGAAACAAGTTAAAAAACTAAATTATTTAACATATCACCTAGTGGTAAGCGATAAGAAAACAAAGTAGGGGAGGGGATCCCAAGTGTTTATATGTAGCAGGGAAGTTAAACCCCTACAGTTTTAGATAGGCCCAAGGAAGGTCTCAATTGGAAGATGACATTTGAATAAAGATCTGAAAGAAGTGAGGTGAGGAAGCTAGCTGTGCAGCTCTCTGGGAAAGTAGCATTGTGGTGAGAGGGGACAGCAAGTGCAAGGGCTGTTGGGCAGCAGTGTGCCTGATTAATTAAAAAATTACTGAAGAGACCATCGTGGCTAAAGTGGAGAAAGGTGAGGGCAGAGAGGTACCTGGGACTAGATCACACCAGGTCTTGGTCACTGTAAGGACTTTTACTGAGTAGAGAGTCACATAATCTGGATTTACATTTTAGCAAGACCTTTGACTGCTTAGTTGAGAATTGACTATGGGGAAACAAGGACAGGAGGAGGGAGACTAGTTAGGAGGCTTTTGCAGTAATCTGATCTCTTAGTTGATGGTGGCTACCAGGGTGGCAGCAGGGGAGGTGGTGGGAAGTGGTCAGTTCAGAGTGCATATTGAAGTAGAGCCAACCAGGTTTGCTGGCAGATTGGATGTGATGTGTGAGAGGAAGAGGGAGTCAGGGATGACTCCAAGGTTTTTGACCTAAGCAGCTGGAAGAATGAAGTTGCCTTTTCCAAGGTGAAGAAGAGTGTGAGTGGAGCAGGTATGCAGGTGGAATGAAATACTGGGAAATTTGTTTGGATATGTTTGGGGAGATAAGGAGGAAAAGAGCAGAAGAGATGAAGAGAGAATGTCCAAAAAGTTAGGAGGAAAACCAAGCAGGTGTGGGCCCTGGAAGTCAAGTGAAGATATTATTTCAAGAAGGAGTTTTTACCATGTCAAATGCTGCTGAGAGTCATAGGACATTGAGTGGTGTCAAAGGAGGAAAACTGTCCCCTATGGTGTGTCTTTTACAACCTCTCTTAATCTCTTCTAATAACAGTACTGGGCTCAGTGAACCATGGTCATGGGACTATTGATATTTTTATGAAATGTCTGTTCCTGGAAGACAGATCTGGCAGATCTTAAAGCATAGAGAGGTGACTGGCAGATTGAGAAGTGTGTCATTGGATAGTCATTCAAATTCATTTATAGCAGAAAAGGTGTAAGAATAGATGTATTTATCCTTTAAGATGTTGAGCTCACACAACCCCTTGGACCTGTATCTTGTGTCCTTACCCTCTTTACTGTTTGCAATACAGGTGTAGTAAACAATGCTGCAGAATTTGCTTTTATTTTAATATGGTATGATAATATTAATAGTTTCTAGAGCAGCAGAAGGTATTTTTGGACTTTTGAATCTAGTAGTGAAGGCTCACACCCTTGAAGAATTTCAATCTGATTGTAAAGAAGGGGAGTATTTCCATCATAAGGTTTTTTTACTTCTGAGCTCCAGCTGATCATCTGAGGGTAAATTTGCTGTAATTCAGTTTGGTTTGAAATATGGCTGTGGAAGACCCAGTTACATTATTTTAGTCCTGCCAATCATGACTTCCTGGTGTTGGTTAGGACCTTGAATGTTCATGTCATATATTAAAGTCTTAAGGCTGATTTTGTTTGCTTATTTTTATCTGTCAGTTAATTGGAGAGACTAATTTTGTAAAATCATTTGGGGATTTAGCTAATTAAACTTAATTATGTGTTTGGGGGTAGATTTGCTATTCTTGGATAGTTATTCCAGTATAAATATATTAAAATAGACAATTACTTTTTTTTTTTAACTAAGACAGTCTGATTATTTTTCTTTAACAACTTTGACCTTTCTATAAAACTTTTAATAGTGTGAAATGTACCAATTTGGCTTTTAAAATATCAGTCATCAGCTTAAAAAACTTACATTCAGAGGTAGTCTACCTCCTTCTTCATTTTCCTGCAGCTTATTTGTAGCTTGGAAGACAGTGTGGGGATAGCATTAGAGAGTGTCCTGGAACGAAATCAAAGCATGTTAGAACATATGAAATCTTTTTCTCTTCATCGGGAATATGATTCTGATGTGGGGTTCTGATGGTCACACTTCAAGAAAGATAACAAAGCTAAAAACAGTCCAGAGAAGTATAGATACAAATGACATATGAGAAAAAGTAGCTTCTCTGACAATTTAAAAAGATTACAATTCTTAAATAAATAGAAAGCTGAAGGGTGATAGAAGAGTTTTTTAAATTCTGAAGAATTTGAACAGGATCATCAGAGAATTATTTAAAAAATACTAGAAATGAAAGATCTTCTCTGAAGCTATTTAGGAACATTCATTAACTTAACTATTACAGAGAACGAAAGGCATCTCTGTGCTCCTTCATAAGGGATGAAATTGTTTCTCAATATGGCCCTTTTTAAAGTCTATTACTTGGTTTGTTTTTATTAATTTTAGGAAGATCCTGCCTTGATTCGTTGGACCTATGCAAGATCAACAAATGTCTATCCCAATTTCAGACCCACTCCCAAGAACTCACTCTTAGGAGCTGTGTTTGGAATTGGGCCCCTCGTCTTCTGGTATTATGTTTTCAAAACTGACAGGGTAAGTATTAGGACCAGATATTTAGTATTTGTGTGATAGGGCCCCTCGGTAGGTGCCAGCTGCAGCTCTTTTCTCTTGATTGCCACACCAGTGCCCCTCCCACCTTGGCCCTGTGTTCTGCCTTCCCTTCCTGTCATCTTTTACCTTTATTCTTTTCCAGCTGGAGTTAAGTCAGAAAGTTTCATTTATGTTTGGTTTTATTGCTTTATTGTTTCAACTAGTATAGAAATATACTTTGTTAAAAATCATAGTAGCCTCTGGGTCTTTCAAATTTAATTTAATGGCTGCTTTAGAACTTAAAGTAATAAAATGGTCAACTTAAATTTCTAAGACTTGATCTTAGCTCATGGAAGAGTTTTCCTCGTGTGTTTTAGATAGTATAAATAAATTATGCTGTGATTATTAAGCAAAGGAATACCAAAATAACTTTAAAAAGTTAATTTGGTTTTTCTCATTAGAAGATATGTAGAAATTAAACTTTTCTATTCTGATTACCCTTTAGATCATTTCTCTGCAAATATTTTATTTATTTTTCTTAATTCATTTATTTTAAAAAGAGATGATGTTTATTGGGTCAAGTATTAGTAGATATGTAAATCATTAATGTTTTCTGTTTGCATGAATTCTAGTTATGTTGGTCGCATTTTGTGAATTAATGAATGTTAAAACCTATTAATACTCTAGCGACAGAGAAGCAAAAGTGGCCTGTGTTGGGAATCAGAGGCCTGGGTATCTGATTGCAGAGAAAGCCAAGCTTATCTTTGGCACTAGACCACTCCACTTCTGGTGCTAGACCCCCAGGCCTTGTGTTGCCAACTAGCCTGGAGTCCACCCATTTGGCTTTGTCTTAAACTGGCCAATCTACTCTCCTGTTAGAGCTTATGTATTTTGATTATTTGATAAATGACCTACTTAACAGAAAGATTGTCCCCACTTTCCCAGAGGTGTTTACATTTTTCTTTCAATGTATGCTTTTTGGGGGGATAATATAGTTGTAATTACTAAAATGTGAGTAAGATATTTTTGAATAGGAGTGTTTTTTTATTGTCCCTTTAGTTCTTTAGGTTACTGTTTCCTCATACACTCCCTGAGCTTTAGACTGTGGGATAGAAATTAAGTTTGGGATGTTTCATTCTGTTTTTCAGAGTTGTACCATAGGTTGTGCCAGAGTTCATTGCTTTTAATGTACTTTTTTTTCTGTCTATACAGGACAGGAAAGAAAAACTTATCCAGGAAGGAAAATTGGACCGAACATTTAATATTTCATATTGAGTCTGGTAATCATGAATACATGTATTCATGCTTAAATAAATCTTCTATTAATCATTAAATAGTTTCTCTTTCTTAATATTACCTTGTTTGAATGTTAAAACTTATTAACATCCTACCAACAGAAGCAAAAGTGGCCTGTGCTGGGAATCACTGCTGTCAGAGTGACAGCAAACATTTGCTGGACATTGTACAATCCTTGCTTTCTAAGAGCTCATAGTTTAGTGAAGAAACAGATTCATGTTCAATCATTCAGTCATTCAGCAAATGAGTGTTAACTATGAGCCAGCACTGTGTTAATGTGCTAAGACTATAGAAGTCAGTAAGACAGACTTAGTGCCTACGCTTAAGGAGTGAGTACACACTCTGACAGTTGTTTATTGAACAATTATTATTTGAGTGCTTGTTAGGTGTCTGGTACTATTTAATACCTAAGTCTGGCCCCAGCTCCAGTGGTAAATGCAGCAGAAGAGTAACACCAGTGTAAAAAGTACAACAGAGATTCAGGAAAATGATGTAGGCAGGCTGATGAGGAATGAGGAATTTAGGGAGATGGCATTTGACGTAGGCTCTGAAGTTCACAAGCCTGACAGGACAAAACAGGAGCACGAAAGGGCAAGATGTGCTGGATTGGGGGCCACTGTGGGGTGGGAAGATGGAGAGTGGTGTCATAGTGAGGAACAGAAATATGGCTAAGAGCATGGGCTTTGGAAGTCAGATCTAGGTTGGAATCCTAGGTTGTGGTTAACAGTTGGAATACTGGGCCTCCATTTCCTCATTTATAGCATGGAGATAGTAATGCCTACTACCTCACAGGGTCATGAAGTTGAAAAATGAAATAACAGAGTATTATTAAAGCTGCTGGCTGAGCACTGCTGCTCATACCTGTAATCCCAGTACTTTGGGAGGCTGAGGCAGGAGGATCACTTGAGCCCAGGAGTTCAAGACCAGCCTGGGCAATGTAGAGAGACCTAGATTTACAAAAATAAAATAAAGCTACCCTATGCTTTGTAGTTCAGTCTTGAAACAGGGTGACAGTCTCATCTACAAAGGAAGAATAAAATCAAGTGCTGTAGATGATCAGAATGTTCTTTAGAGCTAGTTTACATGAGTATATTGGTTTTTAACTTTCAAAGCATATTTATGACTATTCTCTCATTTGATCGTTATATTAGCCCAGGTTACCCTAAATAGCAGAGCCTGAGAGAAAGTATTCTATGTGGGTAGTTTATGTTAGGAAGTGACCTGAAAGAACAGGAGTGGGAAGTTGGGAAGAGTGAAACACGAAGGAGGGAAACCCCATCAAGTGTGTGCCGTTGAACCGTTGTCTCTAAGAGTAACGGGCTCCCCCTGGGGACCTTCTGAGGAGCCCTGTAGGATGTACACAGAATTTTCCCTCCAGAGATGGAAAAAACAAATATCCTCTCTCCATTGGCCAAAAGTTATCCCATGCCATTCCCTTGTATTTCCAGGTATGAACATGTGCAGAATGGCTGTTTTTACAAGCATCACGTGCAGCAGGAAGGAAGCTTAGGGCAGAAGGCAAGTGATGTGCTGTGCAGCTGAGGTGAAGCAGTCAGTTCACACCTGTAGGCAACTAACTGATTGTGGCAGCAGTAAGTGGAGTAAACAGACTAAGAGCATGTGAGGCAGGCATACTTCACACCATGCACTGCTTGGATCTGTTTGTGTACACATTGAGTCCAAACTATAACATGTCCTTCAAGGTGATGGCTCTGTACAATCTCTACAGAACACTTACTATGGGACCATGAGTGGAAGAAGATACAGTCCACACTGTTGCAGCTGGCCTGGAGGCCATAACCGATACTCATTATCTCCCCCAGTCATGCTTTCTAGATTTCTCTTCTTTGGCCATCACTTTAGCAGGTTCAGATTGCTCCTGATGGGATCCCCACGGCCTTCATTTTTAAAGATCAGAACCTTAGTTACTCTAGCATCAGGCTGGCCTTTGTCATAGCAATTGACTGTTTACGTTAGACTGGATGTGGAAGCAATGGGATGCTCCAGTGAATACCCTGGGCTCCATACATGTCCTTTCCTGCCCCTATTGTGTGGCAGAACCCTAGCTCCTTGTAAGCAGGCTCACTGCTGCCAAAAGGGAAACTTTTGTCTACTTTTTCCCAGGTACAAGAAGCCCCAAGTGACCAGAAAATAGTTATAGCTTCGGATCATTGTGTTTCCCTGGTGAAAGTGTTCTCCTGCCCCACTGTGGGAAGCAGGACTTCTTGTCCAGCAGAATCTAAATTTGTAGGACCAGAAGCACACATTCCACAAGGAGTCACTGGGATGGCAAAGGGGGCCAATCCTACTTCGTTCTCTTGGTTCTTGGACTCGGAAATTCTAGCTACTGGACATGTTATGGTATCTATGACCATTAGTTCATTGCATGCACCACATTATCACCTCTAAGCCTCCACCCAGCAGGACGTTCCCAAGCTGGTACCTTAGCTAAGCCTTTAATAGGCTTAGCTATATTCATTTGTGCCTTATAGCTGCTGTTTCCACCTGACCACATTACTCAGTGCTTCTGACATTATCCAGGTCATGATGGGCAGCTCTGGTTGAATGGTCACTTCATCTCATGGTGGATACCCAGCTGCTCTTGGAATGGTGAGTTGTTCTTTGGTGCAGAAGGCATGGCCTTGCTCCAGAACCTTAGGAGTCAGCGCTGTAACTATCCTATTGCCAGGTCTAGCAAGAGACTCCAAGCGGCATCCTTATCTACCGTGGATACCTGTAGTATTAGCTCTATTGTGTTATATGACCCAAGCTGCTTGCACTGTAGCCTGGGTCTGCTGCAGAGCCCTCTCTGGGCTCCATTAAAAACTGGCAGCTTTGCGAATTTCCCCATAAATGAGTTGGAGCAGTGTTCCCAAGTAGGGTATGTATTGCCTCCAGAATCCAAAGAGACCCACAAAGTGCTGTGCTTCTTTCTTTCTTTCTTTCTTTCTTTCTTTCTTTCTTTTTGTTCTCCTTCCTCAGCATTAAAAGCTTTCATCTCTCTCCCTTCAGTAGCTGTTTCTTTCTTAATAGTGGAGGGTGTGAAGTGGAACAACTTGCCCTTTTCTTTGGAGAGGATATCCTGGCATGCTGAAGACTACTGGATCCCTACAAACATCAGCGATGTGGGAGGCTCCTAAACATTTACAGAGATGATCTCCCAATTTCTGTGTCTTATACTAGAGCATTGAAATAATGAGCCTAATCTATGAGTGAACAAAACTTTGAGGCAGAAATAATAGAAGGTGTGAGAAATGGATTCAAGGGGGCCAGGGTGGTAGAGACCTGCAGTAGCTGTGTGTAATGGCAGCATGCTGGAGTGACGATCCACGAATTTCTGCAAAACAGATCTTAAAACCATTTTGGATCTACAGCTACCATCCCTCGTCAGTGAGACTTGGCCGAATCATGAGATTTCCATTTCCAATTTCCATGTAGTACCTGTTTCCTAATTTGCCCCTGCCTGCATCATTACAATAACCCTCTGCCCCTACCTCAGAGCTCACTCCTCCGCCCCTCTTAATGGGCATTATTCTTGAATTGTTCTCCAGATCTCAAAGAATTGTATTACTTTATTTCATTTTACTAGAGGGCAAAAACAGAAGGAATCCTACTCCTACCTTCAGTCTTCTTTTTTAGACAACTTTAGTGTACCAGTAGTCCCCCCTTATCCACGGTTTTGCATTCCACAGTTTCAGTTAAACAAAGTCAACTACAGTCCCAAAATAGGTAATATGACATTTGGTGAGAGAGGGAGACAGAGAACACATTCACATAACTTATTACAGTATATTGCTGTAATTGTTCTATTTTTTTATTGTTTTTGTTCTCTTATGGTGCCTAATTTATAAATTAAAGTTTATCATAGGTATGTATGTATAAGAAAAAACAGTATATATAGGGTTCCATATATCCATGCTTTCAGACCCCCACTAAGGGTCTTGGAACATATCCCCCATGGATAAGAGGGGACTACTATATTCATATGCAAATTAAGTAAAAGAATAAAATAAAAATCTCTCCCAACTTCATCACACAGGCATGATATTTTGATATACAGTTGTCCTTCAGTATCCCCAAGGGATTGGTTTGAGGACTCCCTGCGGATAGCAAAATCTGCGGATGCTCAAGTCCCTTATATAAAATGGTGTAGTATTTGCATATAACTTGTGCACATCCTCCTTTAAATCATCCATATTAGTTACAATACTTAATATAATATAAAGGCTGTGTAAATATTTGTTATACTGTATTAGTTATTTGTATTTTTAAAATTATATTGTTTTATTCATTTTTTTTTTCAAATATTTTCAATCCACGGTTGGTTGAATTCATGGATGTGGAACCTTGGAATATGGAGGGCCAACTATATATTATTTTTTTTTCTACGTCTCAAAATTAGGAACATATATCCTTCTAAAGTGTTTTTCTTTCCTCTGTGCTTATACAAGAGATCCACTGTGTATGATTCGTAAATTTCTGGCCCAATGAATTGTCATGAACATCTTTTCATACAATGACTTTTCTGCGACTTTTTATTTTTTTGAGAAAAGTTCTCACTTTGTTGTCCAAGCTGGAGTGCAGTGGCATCATCATAACTCACTGTAACCTCAAACTCTTGGGCTCACGCGATACTCCTGCCTCAGCCTCCCGAGTAGCTGGGCATACAGGTGTGTGCCACCACGCCCAGTTAATTTTTTATTTTTATATTTTTAGGTTTGTTTTTTTAGTAGAGATGAGGTCTTGCTTTGTTGCTTAGGTTTTAGTACCCTTAGTAATAGGAAAAACATTTCTAGTATATGCTTGGTACCTAAATGTTGAAAGAAGGCAGTACCCAAAGGAATTTTTGCATAGTAGGATTTTTAAAAACTTTACCATTGGGAAAAAATGAGCAGTGTGTTCTTGAGAATTTAATCAGTTTCAAAAGGTTTTTTTGTCGGTCAGGAACAATGTCCCAAATCACACCAAGAAGTGGTCTGATGAGGACACCAATTGCCACCTCATCTGAGCACCAAATGCTGCCATCTGTCTGAATAATGC